CTCATTCTCTCTCTCTATCTCTCTCTCTCATCTCTCTCTCACTCTCTTCTCTCTCTCCTTCTCATTCCTCCTTTTCTCTTCTCTCACTTCCTTTCCCTTCTTCACTCTCTCTCTCTCGATACTCCTCATCTCCTCCTCGTCTCTCTACTTCCTNTATATATATATGTATATATACATATATATAATTATATAATTACATATATACATATATGCATATATGCATATATACAAATATATATACACACACACACACACACACACACACACACACACACACACACACACACACACACACCACACACACACACACACACACACACACACACACACACACACAACACACGCACACACACGCACGCACACACACACACACACACACACACACACACACACACACACACACACACACACACACACACACACACAATATATATATATATATATATATATAATATATATATTAGATATAATATATATAAGTACATAGATACATATATATGTAGATAGATTTATACATGTATGCATGTAAAGGTAGAGAGCTATAGATAAGTAGATAGATCGATCGATATACTGATGTGCGTATATTGGGGGGAACTGTGCGCGCGCGTGTGTATATTTGTGTACATGTATATTTGATATGTTAGAACTAAACTGCAAAAATCTTAAATGAAGTTAGTGAAGTTTTCTGTCAATTTTCGATCAGAGAAAACGAAAAACTTATTTATTTCGAGCATAGACTAAACTATTTTGGTATCAGAGAGCTTTAAATCTTTTAGTTACGGAAGAAAGGTGGAACTCGATGTCTTCGTGTTACCAAATTAGCAATAAAGAGCATACTATTTGATAATGATACTGCTGCCAACAGTGATGATAATGATAATGTTACTAACAATAACGATAATGATAATAATAGCAGCAGCAGCTTAACAATAATAGTGATGATAATAATGATAATAACAACAACAATAATAATAGTAATAGTAATGATTATGGTAACAATAATAATACTAATGATAATGATAATAATATAAATAATGATGGTGATAATAATAATAATGATAACAGCAATGGCTGTGATAATGAAAACAATGACCATGATAAAAACAATGATAATAATAATAACAATGATGATAATGATAACAATAAATAATGACGTTGATAATTATTTTCATAGTGATAGTAGGGCATTAACAGTAGCAACGAGGATATATGAACTAGTTATTGGAACTTCCCTTTTAATCCTAAATAAGTAGATATGACAAAGAGAGAGAGAATATGCACTACACGTACGAGAATGAAAATCTGAATAGTTTACTCTGAAATTTTACATTTTCTTTTATTCTTTTTGATTCAAAATGGATAGATATCATACCCCTAAAAATATAGTTTTCTTTTAATATAATTGCAACAAGTGATATCATAGAAAACGTCTATCAGAAATGAGAGAGAGAGAGAGAGAGAGAAGAGAGAGAGAGAGAGAGAGAGAGAGAGAGAGAGAGAGAGAGAGAGAGAAGAAGAGAGAGAAGAGAGAGAGAGAGAGAGAGAGAGTGAGAGTGAGAGAGAGAGAGAGAGCGAGAGAGAGAGAGAGAGAGAGAGAGAGAGAGAGAAGAGAGAGAGAGAGAGAGAGAAAGGGTGTAGGGGGCGGCCGGCATAGATAAAAAACACAAAAAACACCTGTGAATATTATACATATATACTCTGTTCAGTTTACTCTAGATTGTTTCAAGGTAGATAGATGTATTTTTATTAGATAGATAGCCCGATACGCATTCATTTCTGTGTATATACATGTCCGTATATATGAATATCAATAAGGTGAACTTTAACAAACTGGAAAGTACACATTACATCTGCTATGAGGCTCTGGGACCATTCCTTGGGTAGCGGTACCATTGCTTCCTTGTTAGGCGAAAATGAAGAAAATACCAAATAAACACACATTCATCTTGGTATTACTAAAACAACAGTAGGGCATCACCTTATTTTGCAGCATTTTAGAAAACAAAGACTCATTAATTTACTTCTTTAAAACATTCTTTACTGGAATACTAAGACAACAGTAGGGCATCACCTTATTTGGCAGCATTTTAGAAAACAAAGACTCATTAATTTACTTCTTTAAAACATTCTTTACTGGAATTACTAAGACAACAGTAGGGCATCACCTTATTTGGCAGCATTTTAGAAAACAAAGACTCATTAATTTACTTCTTTACTTCTTTAAAACATTCTTCACGCACCGATTTTTTTTTCATTATTTTTTTTTCTTTACCTCTAAAGTTGCTAACTGGTCTTACTACTAGAAATTATGATAATTTTCCCACTTCACTTTGCAAATATTTTCCTTTGTTCCAATATTTAACGATGTAGTATGTGTGAATCTGTTGTCGTTTTCCATCTCAGATGACTGGTTCAAGATATGAATGAAGTACACGTTGCTGATAAAGGTCAAGAAATTTTGTTTCGATTTCGTAAGATGTACGATAAAAAAAAATGGGTGATTTAGAACAAGAACTAACAATAAATATCGTACAAATATGTTAGCAATGATTCGTGTTAAACTAGAATATTTCATTGTAATTCATTTTTTTATCTGCCATATTGCAAATAACGTTGCTATTATCAACTTACGAATGTAAAGCCACATATGAAAATTGTTTAATTTTCGGAGTCTACCCTCTAACTTCTCCGTTTTCTACGACACATAATTACTCACCAAAAGCTTAAGTCTACCCTAAAAATATCTCCGTTTTCTATGATACGCAACAGATATTTTTCTTATCATTGTTTCCTCTTTCCTCTCTTTTCTTTTCTCCCATTCCTTATTCCTTGAATTATCTGTTATTATCTGTTTTTCAACAGATCAGTATGTTCTGTCTATTAGAGAGAGTGAAATATATATATATATATATATATATATATATATATATATATATATATATATATATATTAGAGTAGAATTAATGATAATGATGATGATATTAAAAAGAAAGAAATGCAGTGATAATGATGATCATATTACTAGTAATAGTAACAAAAACAATAATAATGATAATAAAGAATATGATGATAATAATAATCAATGATACTAATAATAGTGATAATAATAATAACAATAATGATAATGACAATAATAATGGTAATAATGAAAACAATAATAATAACAATAACAATTATAAGGATGGCGATAATAATGATGATAATAATAATAATAATGATAATAAAAAGGGTGATGATAATGATGATGATGAGAGTGGTAATAATGATAATAATAACAATAATAATAATGATAATGATAGTAATCCTAATCATAATGATGATGATAGTAGTAGCAGTAGTAGTAATAGTAATGCTGATAATAATGATAATGATTATAACAATAATCATAATGATAATGAAGCCGAGCGATATAAACAATAATAATAATAACAAGAATGATAATGATAATAACAATAATCATAATCATAATGATGATATAAACAACATCCGGAAGGTAGCAGTTCACACCTCCGTCCTTGGCTGAACAAGCGCTACGCCTAGCTACCTCTCTCTCTCTCCTTCTTTCTTTCTCTCTTCTCTCTCTCTCTCTCTCTCTCTCTCTCTTTCTCCCTCTTTCTCTCTCTCTCTCTCTCTCCTTCTTTCTTTCTTTCTCTCTTTCTCTCTCTCTGTCTCTCTCTATCTCTGTCTCTCTCTCTCTCTCCTCTCTCTCTCTCCCTCCCTCCCTCCCTCCCTCCCTCCCTCCCTCCCTCCCTCCCCTCTCCCTCCTTCTCCCTCCCTCTCTCTCTCACCCACAGAGGCAACAGCTGCCTTGCACCCACTACGCCTGAGCCTTGTCTGACCCAAGAACTTCTCCCCTCGACCAAGTCCTCCGAAGTCCCCCTCCCCCCCCCCCCTCCCCCCCACTCGCCACGGCTGGAAGAACCTGACACTCCAGTCTGCAGAAGGAAGCACCTGCCCAAGATAAGATAGATAAGAGGGGGACGTATAAAGCCGAGAAGCCAAGATCACTTTCGTTACCGCCCTAAGTCCATCTGACGTGTCGTTGACAATGAGGATGATGATGATGATAATAATGATGATGATGATAATGATGATAATAATGATGATGATAATAATAACGATGATGAGGATAATAATGATAATAATAATAATAATAATAATAATAATAATAATGATAATAATAATAATAATAATAATAATGATAATAATAATAATAATATTTCGATGATGATGATGATAATAACAATAACGATGATGAGAATGATAATAATAATAACGATGATGATGTTAATCAAAGTAATAATAGTGATGGTGATAGTGTTAATGATAGTAATTATGATAATGATAATAATGATAATAAAAGTAATAATAATGATCATAAAAGCAACAAGGATGTTAATAATTAAAAATAATACAAAAAATAATAGTGATAATAGTAATAAAAAATATAGTAATCATACTAATAATGATAATGATGGATATAATGAGGATAATAATACAAAAATAATGATACTACTACTACTAATAATAATGATAATGATAATAAAACAACTATAATCATAATAATGATAAGTAATAACAAAAATGATGATAGTTGTAATGATAATAATAATAATAATAAAATAATAATAATAATAATAATAATAACAATACTAATAATGATAATGGTAACGATAATAATAATGATAATGAAATTATAATAATAATAACAGCAACAACAATCATAATGATAACAATTATAACTGTAATAGTAATTAAATGATGATGATAACAACAATAATAATGAGCACGAAATAGTAATAATAAAGATGATAATGATAATGATAATAATATGCATAATAAGAGTACTACTACTATTACTTCTGTTAGAAATAATGATGATGATGATAACAGTATTGATGATAATAATAATGATAACATCAGTAACAGCAACAACAAATCTGAAGATTCTCGTGAAAATACGATTGTTTTTCTTAAGGAATGAAATAAAACAAAGAACA